CCTCATCACAAAACTGCCTTAACATTTGCATTGTGCAGCATTTAATTAGCATTGTGCATACCATGAAATCTTGCAATGGCTGAAGGCCTCTTCCACCGCCCGCTTGAGATCTTCCACGCTCCCATTTCTAGCCACTTCAATATCTACAAATCCCAAAATTCAATACATTACAAACCATCCAAAATTCACATATATGCCCAACCCAAAATATGCATCAAAATTGCAGAATTATACGAAATGTTACCAAAAGACGAGCCGTCCAATTTGAGGATGGTAAGCTTAAGGGGTTCCTCAGGTAATTTATCATACAAGAAAGGTGCTGCTACACAAATAAACGATCCATTCCTTCTTAATGAAACTTTAGGGCTAACATCATCTTCCTCCATTGTCTCTAAGGTTTGCATGACTAGTATGCAAACCCTCAATTAAACTTATTCTTATTTCTGACTTGTACATTGATTCATTACTACCATTTTTGGTCAAAATTTTCCCCTTTTGTTTCAAAGGGGTTTGGTTCTTTGGTGAAGAATTAGGGTTAGAATCTCGTTTAATTGGAGGAAATTCTCAAAAGAAAAAGAATGTGAGAGTGGAGAGAGGACAGCAGTTATGTTTGCTGATTTCAGCTTTTGTAAGGAATAGGACGACAGTTATTTTGGTTCCCGGAATTAACTGTTTCAATCACGCACCAAGACGAGCGTGTTAAACAAATTTGCTTCTTCTCGTTCTTTTTATTTTTATTTTTTTTATATCAACATAGTATATATATGAGTGCCCTTCAAATTTCCAAATGATTTGGTGGCTACCATTAGATGTAGGGATTTTGAACTCTTATTTTTTTCCAACTTTCAATGGTTCAAATTCCTTGTCGTTTGAATTAATTAATCATTTACGAAACTTTTTATATGAAATTTTTTGTATTTTCGTATTACATGCAAAGTATTTGTGAACCAGCAATAGATGCGTTATCGGTATTGGTACACCGGAGCTACTCAAAAAGTTTCTCTCTAGATTTATCATCTTGCTCATGTTACCACTACACTTTATAATAAATATAATCACTTGTATTTGGCTTTTAAGAAAATTAGTATCTATAAACGTGCGTTACACGTTAATAATAACACACGAAGATTTAAATGTTTATTTATATGAAGGAAGAAAAATATTTAATTAATGAGAGAAAATTTATATATAATAATACAACATTCATCTAAATGTAGGAAAATGTTATTACATTAGCGTAATACGTGAATTCAAAATGAAAGGACATCATAAGAACTTATAAAAATGATCAATTTAGTCATATTAATTAGATATAGCTTAAATGTATCTAATATGATGATATCTTAACGAACACTTCTTTGTAGGTGATATTTTTTTGTTCATGTTTTCTTCTAATGCTTTGGTTGTTCTGCTATAACCAAAACTCTTATTGTCGATATTAATATCCCTCTTGAAAGTGCAACATATAGTTATTCGTACAAGAAAATATATTATTATAAATATAGTCCAATATTTATGATATTTGTCCGTGTGTTTTATTTATTATAATTACAAAACATAAACATATTTAAAAATTATTTTTACATAAATTTAAAAGAATATTCTTTAGTTTTGGAAGGTGAAAGTAAATTTGGGGATAAACACATAGCACGTTGACCAGTATCATAATTTCTGCATGTATGACTTTATTGTCAAAACTTCTATATACTAACTGTGTACTATTACATAAGCGGCGGATCTAAGTTTTTCAGTAGCATGATGGGCATATTTTTCTTCAAAATCAACTTGTATGCAATGGAAGATCAATTTTAACTTAGTCTATTATATATACGGTGACACTAACATACGTAAAAAATAATAAACTTGACAACAAACCTGGATGGTAGAAGATCATTTGATATTAAAGTATTTAAGTATTCTTCTTGGTAGTATTAATTGTTGGTATCGATCATCTTCTGTTGAGTCAAAACTAAAAAAATATTTTGTTTTTACCATAAAACTTAGCAATCAACCTTTTATTTAGTTGATCAACATATTCATTTCTGCTAGCTAAGATAGTTCTTTAATTTCCATTATTTAATTGCACAAATTGTGTTTAATCTAATAGTGAAAATATTTTTCTTATTAAATGTACTACTATTACCCTTGAAGTTGATAACCAAATTTTCTGGAAGAACCAAATCACTTTTTATTGGGTGCTCTTCTTCATTTTCGATTGAAAGCAAGAAATCACTGAATGTTGGATCTGTTCTTACTTTTACATTTCTTGTCAGTTGAATCTTTTTCTTTTGAGGTCATAAGTATAAATTTGGCAAGCTAGCTTTTACAGTCTCTACTTTCGTTGATTTTGGAACTACTGACAGCACATGACAGAAATCACCTCTTAAACTATTACTTTTCCTCCAAACGGTTCATGATATCCAATATATCTCTAAAATTCTAGGCAAATATTTCGATTCTTTGATGCTTAGCCATAAGCCCTTCATCCCATATTATTAATTTGGCTTTCCTTATAAATTTATCACTATTGCTCTGCTTTGATATATATTGTGATGGTTATTTCAGTTGTTTGGAGGGGTATATCAAATCTAAAATGAGTTGTATGACCTCATATAATTCAATTGTCGATGGTACACGACTTGTTATTATTGCTAATATTATCATGCCTCTTGATATGACATTTACAATTAATGCATGACATAGGAATATTATTTTGTTTCCGGTGGAGGCATCTATAAAGGATAATCCCGCTATACCAGAATCAACTCTTTATAATATAGTCTTCAAAGCTTTTTTTTGTGTTTAGGATTTAACTTTGATTGTGCTTCCTCAATCACTTGTGTGGCCTTTTTAATATTATATTAATCCTTTTTACTTTGTGATCTAATTTTTTTTATCTCTAACGCTCTTTCTATGGAATAAATTTATGCACCCTAAGATATTCTTTTTTAACTTGAAAAATAATTTTACTTATATGATGATGTTAAAAAATAATTACAGCGAATTCTTTTGCTAAATAATTAATTAAAATTTTGATTTTTTGGTCTTAAAATAAAAAATAATTTATTTTCTGTTGATTCAGATTCTTAATGTTAGCTCATCTCTTATTTTCAATATTTAATCATAATTATAATTTTATCAACCATAAATTTTATTTTCAAAGAGTAAAAAATTGATCTGACATTCCACTTTTAGATCTTTATATTTGTAAAATCATTAGTGGTATTGACTCTTTCCAAAAAAAAAATGACTCTTACCAACCTTTTTCTTTCTCTTTCTCACATATTTATATTCTCCAAAAAATTCTTAGTTGTTCTTTAATAATTACGTATATTTTTCAATATTACACGAGAAATTAATAATAACAAAATATTATTTGAGTAGGAAAGCAGTTCAAATATATTATAAAAATATATCATCGTGGGGATGTTTTCTCTCAATTTCAATGCTTTATGTAGTCCATTTAATATTACTTTTATTTTTTCTTAGTATTGGATATTATCGAGTGATATTTTATTACAAATACGGAGGATCTTATAAAATTGATTTTATCAAACTTTCCTACATCTTTTTAATAAGAATTAAATAGATAAAATTTTAAATATTAAAAATTAATATGTTATTGTAGTCCAAAAAAAAGCTATTACAGTTATGTCATTTCCCTATGAGTTCTTCTGTTTAATACTTAGGGTTATTTTGGTCTATTAATATTATATTTATGTTTTTATAATAACATAAGTCTTCCTTTTTTTAAATGAATTTGGACAATATAATACATTCTCAAATCTATATCTATATATAAATATAAAGTTGGGAATAGAAAAGATGATGTGGCATGCCTCTTTAATCAACATGACAATTTATCTTTTTTCTCATAATTTTGAACTTTTTTCTTATTTTCTGTCAAAAATATTTCCAAAAAATATATTTTTATCCATTACTCCATTTATTTCTATTCATCAAATCTTATTTAATCTCTCTTTCTTCCGTTTTCTTCATCCTCATATTACTACATTTATTCTTTTTCCTCAAATCCATCTTTCTTCCGTTTTCATTTTCTTCATTATTACTCTATTTATTTCTTTCCACAAATCCCTCTCTCTTCCTTCTATGTTTTTATTTTCTTAGAATTGTTTTTTCCGATCTCTCTATAAATGCTAAAGCCCTTAAGGTAGGCAAAAGTATGAGAAGAAGTCAATGTCGGAGAAGCCTTCCGGTAATAAAATTTTAGCGGAGAAAAAATCGAAAGCTGTGAAGACACGTCTCAAAGATTACTTTTTTTAATCGCTGCCACCAACTTTTTGCCTTCTACTTTTTTTTTTTTGTGCTTTCTACATTTTCGTTTTCCTATTCTCATTGATGTTAGTTGGAACTTGGAAGTATTGTGCTTTGTGTTTAAGGCCTTTTTCTCCTTGAATTGTTGAAAATTGAAATATCTATTGTGCTTAACATGTTAGCCTCTAGTGTTATATATATTGTAATTTCATTGTTTATGACTTTTAGGTTTGGTTGTCTTTGAAGGTTAGTTTTATTGGATTTGGATTGTTTAATTTTTGAAGATATTGTTAGAGTTGTTTCAAAATTAGCATTTTGAGAGGAGTTTCGATTGAGCTGAATTTTCTTGTAAGAAAATAGAAAATAGGCTTCACTCAGGTCTAATTTCACAAGAAATAGAAAGGAATATTAATTAGTTTTTTATTTCCTTTTTTTTTCTTTTTCCTTTCTCATCTCCTTTTCTTACTTGATTTTTTATTTAGTGAGCGAAGCTTTTGTCTCTATAAAAAAAAGTGAATAATGCGTAGTTATAGTAAAACCTTTTGGTGAATGGAATGTGAAGAATTTAAAATATATTTATCATGCACTTCTATTAGTAGTAGCTAGAAGACAGAAAAAGATTTAATTGATATTACAATATTGTGATAAAATTCTAACTTTTTTTGAGTGTAATAAAGAACAATAGAAGAGTGAAATTTAAAACTACAACATGAAAGTCGATTCTGTCTTAACACGGAACTTTGGCATTGTTTGTTCTTATATTTTTTTCTACATTGAAAATTTTGGGATAAAGAAATCACATCTTACATCACGTGTATAAAAATTAGACCTTCAAATAAAATAAAGAAAATCAAAAGTACAACATGAATTATTTTAGTTCAATTCTCTTTGAACATGCAAAATTGGCATTGTTTGTTTTTATATTTTTTTTCTACTTTGATTAATTCGTTTTTCTACTTTGATTAACTTTTTTTTTCTTTTATAGATCTTATATTACATGTATAAAAATTAAATTTCAGATAAAAATAATAAAATCAAATAAAACTAAATATCCACCTAGAAACCATTTACTCAAAAGCATATAAATTTATTTATAAGAATATATATAATAGAATTACTATTTGAGAAATTCAACCAAATATATCTGCTACAATAAGTTTCTAGCAGTGGTTAATATTCTAAAAATAGTAGAAGATAATTTCCTTTGCCATATATTATCCTAAAATTAAAAGAACTAAGTAAAATATTAATAGAAAACTCTAATCGAAATCTAACCCATTTACCTGGAGCATTTTTTTAGAGCAAATTGATGAATAAAATATTCAAATTAAATTGACTATTAAACGATATGTAATAATAAAAGAAACTCTACTTTTTCTTTCCTCTTATTAAACTTTTGATTTTTCTTTTTTTGTTTTGGTAATTGACCATTTTTCTTTATTTTCTCTCCAATCAATGGATTTTTTTCTTTTGTTATATTCACGAAATAAATGTGAAATTAGGATTTCCAAATGTGAAAGTAACCTAGAAATATTGAATAGTGATATTGTGTGATGAACGATAATTTTATTTGGATTCTACCGTAATTTCTCATTCAAAAAGGATTTAAAAGCAAATATATATACTTTTTCTTTCATTGTTCTACTTGGCTAAATTATCATTTGTAAGATATTAGTACGCCTGATTTATTCATATATAAATGTAATTCATTATTTCTCATGATATTTTATTTTTTCAATATAACTCACAAAAAGAAATTATTTTCTTGAAGTCATTTGCGTTCTTCCGGAAACAATCGCGCGAAGCACGGATTAATGTTTTCTCTAAACTAAATAGAAGAGAAAGAGAAAAAGGAAACAAAAAGATCTAAAACTTTAAAAAAAATTATTTTAAATTAAATTAGTAATAGGATTTTTTGAAGGAGTATATCCTAAAAGTAATAGAATTACATGACTAAATATATTAAGATTATACTAATAGGATTCCTAAAGGTAATCATGGAAGATTTCTAACGTGTATTATGTCCTAAAACTAATAGGATTATAAAACTAATGTGTAGAATTCCGGTTATGTGCTTTTATTGTGAGTATTATATTTAGTATTAAAAGGTTATTTTTGTAAACCAATATTATATTCATGCTTTTATAATAAATATAGAATAGATTAATAGCGTAAAAATTCTTTATACTTATATAAAAGTTAAATATTTTTCTTGTACAATCGTCTTTGCCATCTTCAAATCTTCCACTTTCTTTTTCTCCTTTTCCTCCGACAAGCCGGCCAGCTATTTCTAAAGTTAGATAGAAGACCCAGTTGATCTAAAATGTATTCACTTCCAGCACTCGTATTTGCTAACCAAGAAATGTAAATATTAAAATTCTCTCGTCATAAGATGGACAAGCAGAAAATCGAGACAAACACCGCAAGATACATAAATTAATAGGAAAAAGTAAAAAAATTGCCTAAGAAAGGCATCATACAGCTAACATCGTTGGGGGTCACAACTTACTCCATGAAGAATCTTGTTAAGCACTGGGTTTCAATTACAATCTGTTCATAAAAAGAATGTCATTACTGTGTACATCTCAAACTAATTAAGTTTCCCTCGTCCTTGGAGGGTAATTCTCCTTTTTAGGGCCCTGCAGTGCCGAGATCCGGTCCTGTAACAAGCTACAACCTTTACGCTCACCCAATTCTCAGTAACATTAAGTCAACAGGGACTTTTACTAGCCCGATGAGGATCGGATACCTGAATTACCTATTAAGGAAATTATACCTTGCAGCTGAGTGTCTCTTCAAGCATCGCATAATTACCAATACAAAAATGGGGTAAAAACTATGCTGCAAATAATAACTTTTTCCTGGAACAATCATATGGACATTATCAACAATCACTTCCCTATGAGTTTGTAGTAGGCGTAGAGACCAGAGCCAACAAATCCCAGAAGCTGCCCAAGTACATTCAACTGAAAGCAGATATCCATCTACAATGATTAGCAGACAAAATAGAACGGCAATCACAGAAACAGCAATAGTACGCTCACCATATCAAATGGAAGCCCGCCAAATATGAACCATCCTAGAGAGATTGTAAAAAAGTCCTGCATAAAAGGAAGAAAAAACTGTAGTAATGATAGAGACTCATCAATCACTGACATTTTAGCTTCTTTTGACTCGGGGTACATGACAAGTTAAATAAATGGAAGTCTCGCAAGCATAGGACCTTGGTTGGAAAGTGGACTCAAGCCACTTACCAAAGTGCAACCTATCTCTGCTGAGAAATGAAAACCCAGAAAGAAGTTCATCTTCAAGAGAATCCTATAAGTGCAAACGCAGAGAGCAGATGGACAAGCTAACTGAGCTTTCAGCTGACTGCGATTAGCACAGCTCAAGTTCAAAGGAGATAAAGATTGACAGCCAGCCAAGTATAGTGAATAACTCTCCCTTCTTTTTTCAATTTCATATTAGAAGTGCCACCTGCTGTCTCAAAAAAAAAACACAGGGAGTAGATGAAAATTTGAAGGTGTAAAGGGAAATGCAGGGCACAGAGGTTGTGGGAAGTAGGGCTCTGAATCTTGTTTATTGGCCCCATAGCAATTGTATCACTTTTTCTACTCTTCTTTAGGGGAGTTTAGGAAGGGCAGAAGGAGGGGGCCAGAGGAGGGTAGATCACCTCTTCAGTTTGCTACCAAACTTTTGACTGAAAGTGCAATCTGACATTTTTGAGTAAAGGTTCAGTTTCAAACTTAGATATTTCCGCATCACAAGCCTCAAGGATAACTTATCTAAATTTCCATCAGCTCTGCAAAAGGTTCATGTAGCTTCATGCTCAACTAAAATGAGAAAACTTTTGACAATGGACATGAGCTATTTTTTTGGTATGTTGTAAGAAAGTATATCTGCAAGTTATCTATTGAAATTACTACAAGGATGATAATCCAGTAATTGTAGCCTAGTGATATGAGGCTATTCTATAAAGCTGGCTTCTGTGGGACAAGGGGATAAGTTCAGCGATTTTGTTCTTTTTTGCCATCACTTTGGGGATATTGGATGTAGCTGATGGTAGGTCGAGATTATGGCAGTTCCAATAGATTGAAAAACAGAACACTAAAATCCATACTTTAGAAGTTAACATCTTTGTTCTGCTAGGTATTTGATCCTCATATGAGTTGTACATCCATCTTTAAATCCCAAGTATTCAAACAAGAAGTTATAAGACCACAATACTCTTTAATTCTTATTTAAGAAATCAAGGATTAATGTGAGGACGAGAAAATTTACGTGCAACCACATGCATGAGAGGAAACGAGCACTGGATAATTGGTACTATATCTCAAGAGGAAGGTATGATGGACAAAGGTTGCAGGCCTCTAACTGTTTTTGCCACATCTTCCTCTAACAACTCTTAACTAAAGCTGATAAAAACAAAAGCAGGAAAATCTAGAAAGAGAATCAAGTGACGAAGGTTCTCCATCACTTTCATATGTATTTTGTAGTAGAATTATTCAGAGTTAAAAAAGGTAGATGGAGCAAAACCTATTTGCTGGTTCAGGTGACTAGATAGAGATGTGAATTTTCCATTAATGTCAAAGAACTCTAACTGTAAAACTGTTTCAATTGTTATTTTGTAAATAGGAGTCCTTCTATACACTGTTGGAAAGGATTTACTATACTAAAATTTATATTACAGGATCAAGTTACAAAAGGAGTGGGCATGTCCGCTCATAGCTTGGCCTAAGGAGGATAGGCAACCCCCCCCCCCCTCTTTTTTTTGCTTACTTAGCAAAAGAAAAAGAAGGAATATGCTCCCTCTTCCATTTTGTAACTATTCTATTTGTTTTTATGAACATGCAGGGGTTAGAGCCTAACCCTCCACCTATTTAGGTGGATTTATGTAAAAAAAGAATTCCTTTAGAACAGAACTTTAAGCGATGCAAGGTTCACAGAGATATCTTTTACCCTTCACATGTGGGTTTATCAGCACCCTTTACTGTGACAAGCCTTATGAGGAGCCCAGGTACTCTAGAAATGACTGTTCTCCAGCAACTGAAACTTTGTAAAAAAAAATAACTAAAAGAAGAGCTGAACGTGCTAGAAATTCTTACTATTCATTAATGACTAGTCCTAGCTTAGGATGATGAGATATTTTAATTGGCATTAGAAACCAAAAACTTGCACACTGGGGAGCCAAGCCTCAAAATTACATCCTATGAGCAAGAAACCTCTGGTCAGCATGCAAGGATGCAAGCAAAATACAGAATCACCTTTCATTTTCTCAAAATAGCACAATCGCTTGCAATTGTACACTCTATTCAACTCCAGTTGAAACAAAGCAAAGTATTTGACTACCTGAATAATGGACTCGGATTCCTCCACAAGACCACAAACATCTTTTGCCATTATAAATGTTACTTTGTACTTTCTCCAATTGGAGTATCGACCCAGCAAGGTGAATCAGAAAGCTTAATAGAATAAAAAGATTCATCGGAGAACAAACCTTCAAGTTACCACATATTGTCTGTGTGACGGCTGAATTCAGTGTTGTATTGAGAAATATACAGTAGTTCAAGAAAAATGCCAATATGCAAGACATTAACATTACGACCTGCTCATTTACAAAATACGAGAGTCAAAACACAGCAATATGACATCCCATTAAGACATTTATAAGTAGCAGTTAAGTGTCCAGCAACAGTTGGAAGGAACCAGGTGAGAGTATGCTAGTATGACAATGGTGGGACACATTTACATTGAAAACAACATTAATGTTTGGAGCAGGATTCACTCTCTATGCTTTTCCTTTTAACACAAAGGAAGCAAAAATATTGTCCCAGAGGTGGGAGATGGGGGAGTGGGGAAGAACACCTATGACTTTGAGCTCCCCAAGAGACAATGCGAGGAAGCAAAGTGGACTATCACATTATGTGGTGCAGCAAAAGATCAATGAGATAGTAAGATACCATACTCAAGTTAATTGTGAAGCTTACCAGGAAACCTGGTGAAAACAAGTAAGGAAAATTCATTGTCAGTGCCAGGTCACCTCGAATAAGTGACCAAACAAGTAAGAGAGGTCCACAGATGATTCCTATTAAAGGCAAAAAGAACAAAAAAAAAATAAAAAAATCAGACAACTAGAACTAGGATGAACGACAAGGATGACTAATAGAGAACAAGAGCAATACCATTGCACCACATAAGGCCAAAGCTATTGAGGCCACTTGATTTTCCTGGATAGCTGGAAATATTAGAAAGGACCAAAAAGATATCAACCTGAAAAGAATACATGACAAGGCAAAAACGCTACCAATCCGCGCTATGGTTGCAAGGTATATTGCTGTTGTGATGTTGGATAAGAAGACAACAGCATAGCCATAAAAGTCAAATGACAAGTCCCGAGCTCCAGCGACAAAAGCACCAAACACGATTATCACTACACTGGTAATGTTAGGCAATGTTTTGTTAGAGAACGAGCGAGAAATATGCTCACAGTGTTACTCAAACTATGTGCTTGAATGATGTGTGATTAAGAGAACCCTTAACAGAAGAAGCAAGAAAAAAAACTTATGGAAGGCAGGCAACAATAACTTATCTTCTTACGGGTCAATTTAGAAGTGTAAAAGGAGAATCCCAGGGGTTGTTTTGGTTACCAAGATTAGGAAAATGGACATGGTATAAAATTCAATAATAATTTATACCGTGTTTGGTTAGAATTTTATACGACAAAATTGGTATTATTTTGTGCCGGATCCAACATGGGACAACTCATACAGGGATTAACTTTATGGGGATAAAACACCTAAAAACAAAAATAGCCTTGATTACATCTTTCTATTCATTAGTCCTATTTGCTATCAAAATAAGGGTAAGATTGTAAATTGTTACATTATACATCGTATATTTCATTTTTAATGCAATGAACTAAACATCTGGCAAGCACTAAATAAACCAGTGATTATAAATCCCTGTATTACAATCCTTGGATTATAATCCCTGCATAACTTTGTCAGTGAACCAAATGACCCCTTTAGGGGTTGTTTGGTTTGAAGACAAGTTATGTTGCGGTTAATTATGGTGGGATTAGTAATACTGGGATTAGTTATGCTAGGATTAGTTATCCTGTTATTATTTCTTATTGACTGTTTGGTATGTTGTATTAATCCTGGGATTGTCAATTTTACTGCTTATCCTGGGATTACTATCCACTCTCTGGAAGGTATAAGTTATTCCGATACTCTTTTTTAATCCTGGAATAACTTATCCCAGGATTAGTAACCAACCAAGGGATAAAGCGGTATTAAATTTTTATCTTAGGATTATTTTTGATTATCCATCGTACCAAACGACCCCTTAGTGTTTAAATGATAAACCCCTTAATAGACTGTTAATACTAATTACTAGAAATTTAACAGAACTGAGACAAAAGAGAAAATCAAACGTTCTATTCTTTCTTGCAACTTCCAGCAGAGCACAAATGAAGCAACAGAATATAGTGATATATTTGGCTCTCATGTATCATACCATTATGCTATTTAAGGCAGTTAGGTTAAGCAAACAGTTTTCAACTTTATCCATTTAGTCAGAAATCTCATTTCCCAGGGTCATAAGCCTCGTTTCAACTTTAGGCATTTTGAGTCGAAAAAACTTTCATTTTTTCCCAGTTATAAATCTTTTTTCTGGAAGCAGAATGAAGGAACAAATGAAACATTAATCCTGTTCCTCTCGTCACTATTTTCCATATTGAATTTTTCTTCTTTATGGGAAATTGTTTAGTTTGTTGAGAAAGTCCGCTGTTGGTGAGCCAGATGATTTAATAAGAAATCTCGGAAGCAACTTCAATTCCCAAATCGAGAACACGAGAGAGAATGAAATGCATAAAAAGTGAAACATTAATCCCAGTTATCCCTCGGTTTTACTAACTGTGAGAAGTTAAGTTTTAAATATTCTTTCCTAATATTCTGATCCCTTGATGAGGCACTTTTCTTTGTTGTCTATCTCAAGATCCCATAGTATTTTTCTAGACATAACTTCTGCAACAGAACTAACTAAAAGAAAAAGGAAATCTCACCTTCCAATAACCGGACGACTGTACCTCTGACCTGCAAGAATGGATTCCACAATCATTGTAAATACAACAGTTGTCCTCCTAAGGGTTGTGTACATGGGTACATTTACTCCCCGAACAGACTCCATCGTAACTAGCTTTCAAGGAGAACCAGAGACCCCATAAAATCTTTTGGTGAGATGCGATCTCCTGACCTTTGAGGAAATAATAAGCATAAAAATACTAAATGAAGCAATTACCATGTAGAGAAGATAGGTCACAGCAACGGGTGAAGTATCAATCAGTGTCTTCAGTGGCACAAATGTTTTAAAATTGTCAGGGATTACCGGAGATTCATTCAAATGAAAAGAAATGAGCTTCAACCGTCTTAGGAGATAAAGAAAACAACATGAACATATTATCTGCAAATGACAGGAAGCTAAATATATCAGTTCAGTGATGCCAACTGATATAGAGAACTGCCTTTGAAAAGCACGGAACAAAATCACTCCTGTCAAGCACAAGTCTCACAACTCATTTGGAAATATAAAACATTACATGGAGATATCACTAAAGTAAAACATCATATTTGATAAACCATGTAAAACTTAAGAAATAAGCCAGAGCTTTTGCATGATGAACTGACAATATATTTAAAGGTCATGAAGACAAATTGCTTAGGATAAATGTTTGCAACCAGCTCCGGAAAATGAATAAATAATGTGTGGTACAATGCTGAGACTGCCAGGCATCCCTGTTAAAACCAGAGTCTCAAGGTACCTGACAGAGTGTGATGACATTTGCAGATGGGAAGTTGTATGAAGAAAGAGCTGCTTTATTGAATAATACCAAGAGAACTGCAAGTCAAAATCAGGTAATTTTGTAAGCATCAAGCAGTATAAATGACTATGGTAAGCTTCTCCAAAAGAACAAGATGAAATGTCCTTAAACGCAAATAGGAAACCCACAAGGAAATATATATTATAGAGAACCAAAAAGTCTTTGATAAACAATAGGACAAAATCAACTTAAGGACTATGATGCTTAGAAAGGTGAAGCAAAGGGATAGAGCAAATAAAAGGAAGTTTCTATAATTCAACCTAACAGAATCAAAATTCAAGACTGGCAACTATACTTCGGCACTTGACTTTGAATTTGAGATTCTTCTATATGTATATGCTTATTGTCACCATGCATCATTACAAGACATCAGTGGCCATGCCTTAATTCTTGTCATTGGGATCACATTATTAAGTGTTGGATTTTTCAACTAAATGTCCTAAAATATAATTTTAGTACCGAGTGGCTCCCCTGACCTCACTGTATGTGAACTAACATTGACAGTGCAAGAATGGACAATGAATAACATCCAGAAATGGAAATTAAGCTCAAAGCAACGACATGCGATGGGGTCTTCGTTGAGTCTTTATCTTCAGAGTCCTAATTTTCTGATTCAACAAGCAAAGTCAAAGGTATACCCTAATTTAGTATGTTAAACAATGAAGTCACTAGACCAATCTGAAATCTTTTAGCTTCTCTTTTTTCAAATACGTGATAAACAACAAATTTAAATCTGCCCACTTTAAGTTGTAGAATATCATCAATATAACACTGACAATTAGACATGGATTTACCACCCAGAAAAAAACATGTTAATTTCCCACTACGGTAGAGTGGCATATTTGGACAAAAGTCACATCCGGAACTACATAAACATGATCTATTTGTCTGAATCATGTAGCATAAGATGTGCCAAAGACACAACACAATACTTTTATATATTTAATATTAATTGCTTATAATGCCTAGAAAGTCAACTTTGATGGACATAAAAGCTACGATTCCAAATAATACAAGTGTCCATCATAAGTTAATAACTTAATAGTAAGTTTGACCTTCCTTATCCAGTTACTTTTATCCCATTGATGTCATCCAGTCTTCAAACATGTCTGTCATTTGACAATATGAGACATTTTAAGGATGCGTGAATACACACAATTGGATCAATATGCATACAGTGTCCAAGATAATCAACACATTTTTGTGTGTAAAAGTGCTAAATAATTTAACGAGTAATGCTGAGGGTCTAAATCCAACATTCCCAAGATCAAATGAACATGTTAATGAACAATTGCTGCAATTTAAAGTCAGAATGGCGTTCTAGATGGTATGAGATTGTGCATAACTCTTTCATATCCAACCCCCGGAAATCCCCCACTATACAACGAAGGATAAATCCATCCAAAAGAACATCTGATCATGCCATCAAAAGATAAGCAAGTCAACAAGCATGATAAATTTTTATACAACTGAGGAAAGAAAAAAATACTCTGAAAAGAACCAACAAGAATGGAAGTTCTTCTTTTAAGGAGTTAGAAAATACCTAAGGCATTTGATGTGTGAGGCACATAAAGCTCAACCGTTCAAAGATATTGAGACTAATCCTATTTAATAACAGTGAAATATTTACACATTTAGCACTTGGGTACATGGTTTTCCCTTGAATAACACCAAATTGGAAAGAGAACTTCCTATTAATAACACCATGCATGAATCAAAAGCTCAACTTTTTAAAAGACAATTAGGAAAGGAAACACCTTATAATACTTCATTTCATGACGAATCACTCAACTCTCCATCAACAAAAATAAACTCTTTATTTGAATCAGACAGGAGGAAGCAACTCCCATGCTAGCTCTAACGATTGCAATTTCAACTAGTTTCTCCGATGTGATAGAGAAAGTCAAAATTCAACTGTTTGATTAACTAACGGCCACAAAACACTAGGTTCTATGACGAATCACTCCACTCACGATCAACAAATAAACGCTCAATTTGAATCGAACGTAATAAACAGTCCTAGCTCTAAAAATTGCAATTTTAACAACTGTCTTCGATGTATGGGGAGAAAATTTAACAATTGCGATTCCTCAAAAAAAAGAAGCAAAATTTCAAAACCGCAATTTCGTAATTCAACAGTAACGGATATGCTTATAAGGAGCGAACGAAGACGAAGAAAGAGGAAATATTCATACCAGCACATGACATATAAGATATAGCAGCATAAGCACCGCGTTTGGTCATGGCCGATCCTTTGAAGAGCTTCTCCTCCGTTCGCGGCGGCGGTGAATCGGCCGCCGGCGCCGTCGTCATTGGTAGTAACGGACTGTTCTTCGCTGAACTGGAAGCCATGATTCACACGAAATTTAGATCTCTCTCTGTGAATCAGTATCTTTCAACAACTACTCAAACTGCAAGTTGAATTAGCTGTTTGATTTTAATACTCTGATTCTTTAAACCAAGTATTTAAACTGATTTGAAACTCTATATTCTCAGATATATTCGTTTTTTTGAAGTTTCCACAGATTCAAAAGCAGCCCCTTATTTATTTTCTTTTTCTGGTTTTTGGTTCGTTTGGTTTCCATAGAAGCTTCCCTTTTCCCATTATTCCCCAATTATTTATTTTTGAGAATTAAAAATATCATGCTGATAATTGTCATATGATTTCTTTACCAGAAAAGATTTTTGGGTCGTGGGAAGAAATGACATACCAAAAATTGAATTTTATGACAACAACAACAAAAATAATTATTACTAGTTTTTAGTCCAACTAATTAAATTTGGTTATATAAATGCTCATTATTTATTTTGCATTTTTGATTCATTTCTACCATCTTAATTCATTCTCTTCATTTATAAGATTGTTTTAGGACTAACATTTGTGAATGTTTTTAAATTAAGAAAATGAATTATTTGATTTGGAAGTGAAGAATATAGAATCTAATAGGACCCCGATGGTTTCGAATCTCATTTGCATAAATAACTAAAAGAAAGTTTTGAGCCTAAAATCACATTTATAGATTTTACAGCAAATTGATAAAAATTATGTGCCCATATCGTCTGGGGTTTTCCTAAAAGACATTTGTATAAACTAATTTTTTGTTAACAAAAAGAGCAATAAAATTGATGATCAATAAAACTAATTAATTTGATTACAAAAGATCTTTATTACATAAAATCAATAAAAATTGATTAAAACATTCTAATCACTACAAGAACATAATTCAATCTCCAGTTTAAAAATCGATATTTGGTAATTAGAAAGTTTTAATTTAATGATCATTTAAACAACTTTAGTCAAAATGAGTATGAAATTCCTCTCAAAACTTTCCTTTATCAGTATTTTGTTAAAATTTCCCTTTATCTATTAGCTTATTGATTCAATAATATTTAGCATATTAGCCTCTAAGGGCTGAACTTAACAATTGACGAGACAATGAAAAAACAATATTCAAATCCAAGGCAAAACAATAACATGATTTTCTGATGAATAGAAATATAGAATTAACAAATACATGTTCCGATAAAAGGATATGATAAATGTTTCAGTTTGAATATCACCGTATAAGGAAAGATATTTAGCTTATATACTTTTTAATGAGGAGAATAATTAGATGACAAGTACAAAAATTCAAAGTTCACAACTCTTTGTCAAGTTGCATTTGCAGAAGTCTTATACTGGTCAAACTCCTTCTTTACGTGGTCAGATTTAGACGACCATGAATCAACCAAAATTTTTTAGGTCTGCGCTGATTTTTAGATGCACGTTTGTATTCAATTACAATTACTTACGAAAAATGGAAATTATTAGTTTTATTTTCTTTAATTATCTTAAGCATATTCTCCGTCTTGTATCTTCGATAATGGATTCAGTGTAATTATTCTGATAACATCAATGTTTCATTCTAAGGCAATATATTAGTTAACAACTTAATGTACATTTAATAAAAATATTATGTCCAAAAACCTCATTTCTTATCGATTTATGTGATATACTTTTCACTATAAGACATTAAAAGATGGACAAAATTTATACTCTAACGAACTTTGTGAAAGATGATTCATTTAACAATTCAAATTCATACATTCGTGTGATAAAATATACTTCTATTAACCTAACTTTTAAAATTATTAGTTTAAAACTTCTATCAACCTAAAATATTTACAGCCGCTCTGGCCATATATTTTGTAGCCAGTTCTTTCTCAAGCCTAATTTGGATCACCTCCCTCACCTACTCAATCCATCTTGATGCCACGATCACTCACGCAGGGGAGGGGAGGTTCAAGCATATGCGAGGCTTAAGGCCAAAGCTTAATATGAGACCTAAATTTTTAAAAGAAAGTTATAAAAAATATTTTTATTTGAAGTATATTCTTCTAACTTTTTGAGATATAAATTTGTTAAAAATCTTTTTTACAATGGATTTTCTATTATAATTCCTTTTCAATTGATAATATAGCCAACTCATTTAATTTTTCTTGAAATATTTTGATCTTAGATAAGATTTTATAGAGAAATAGAAGTATAGAACTATTGGAAACTTAAAAGTATTGTTGAACACTTGAACTAATGAAATAGAGAAATAGAAGTATAGTACATATGCAACATCACCTACAACGAAGGTTAGTACAGCAGCTAGTTCTAAAGGTGATCGAGAAGTCACAGCAGTGCAATTGGGACAGAATCAAATTGTTACAACTGTCCCAGTTATTTCAGAGGAGGAGAGAAAGCTTTTGGATGCAATTGGGAGTTCTACTTCGTTAAATCCTGTAAATCTAAATGCATATAGCACTGGACCTGTGAGTAAGAGCAGGAATAAAATGCAAAAAACTGATCAACATCAAAGCAAGTCAATGGTGACAAATACAAAGGGACAATCTGCATTGGTGACACTAGACATCGTCCAAAATGCTCCACAATCTGTGAATGTGGGGAGGGAAATTTTTGAAGAAGGAGAGGACGATGCAATGATACAACAATGCAGGGCAGAGGCAGCAAGAAAAGGGGATCTGTCACCAATGCATAGTGGAAAAAGTTGCAAATCTCATACAAGGAAAAATAGTTGGGATGACAAGGTTAGTGATTTTTTAAATGTTAGGCGACCTCCAATGAGAGTTGCCAAACAAAAGAAGGTCGCCCCAACTGCATCTACAAAGTCCAATCGTTCAAAAAAGAAATCATGAATTTTGAATACATCTTGAAGAATTGGGGTTGTGATGAAAAAGAATTACAAATTGAAGAAATTACAAGTTCGGACAAAAAAGGACAACATTTTAATTCCTTCATCATTTTATTCTACCATTATGTTAGTATACTCATTTGTAATATCATCACAGAGTATGTTATAAACTCTGTGATGATCATTAAATATTTGGTACTTTCCAGTTCTTTCTTTTTATATGCTTGTTAGTAAGTGAGGCTTTTTATTTGCCTCAATAGGATTAGTAAGGTAAGGTTTAGCCCGGTTTGTGTTGCTTTGTTCCTATGCCTTTGGAAAATATCCACACGGCTATGAGATTATATGCCCTCGTGAGACGTTGCCGGCAGCTACACCATGAATCCTCTACATGAGGCTGTCTTCATAAGGCAGTGTGAGGCGCAGAGGAGTGATTATATAGCCAAGGCATATGAGTAACAATACCGGTGCTATTGTCCCCTTATTTGTACTTTTCCTAATTGTTGTATTTTTCTTTTCTTTTATTAATAAAAAACTAGCCCTAGGCGCTTGCCTAGTGGATAAAAAAAAGAGAAAAAAAAAATGAAATATTGGAGAAAGAAGGTGAATAGTAAATCTTGGAGAAAGAAGGTGAGTATAAATATCAAAGAGAAAGACCGAAAATATGTATGAGTTTCTGAAATATAAAAAGATTGGAAAAAAGAAAGATTGACCTGGACAAATTAAGGACAAGAGAGTAAAATTTTAAATGTTGTAAGAAGCGGAAAATTGAAACCTTGGAAAAATTATTTATCTACCTATTTTTAAGCAAGTCAAATTATTACTTTATTTATATATCTAAATTTTTTTTTTATATATTAAAAGCTCTACTTTTATATTGAAAGTACCAATATTATTTTTTAAATACCTATGAACCTATTATTTTTTAAAAATAGGGCTCCCAAGGGGGCCTAAAGCAAATGTCTCGCTACATATAACATTGGAGCCGGCACTGCGCAGGGGGAATAGGGTATGGAAAGCAGCGGTATGGAATGGGGATTACATCTAGGATTTAGCTATAAAATGTAGCTATATTTTTTAGAAATATGCAAATTGGGTAATAAAAAAGAAATATGGCTCTTTCTTTAAATGAGCCACTTTGGGCGCCAGGCAGTGAAGATTTTCCTAATTTTTCATGACAAGGATATAGTGTTCTATATTTTTTTGCTCCGTGTTAGAACAACACCATCTGGACCTCCATGGCAGAACACTTGTTCTCGGCTTATTTGCAATAATAGCCTTTTTGGAGTTTATATTTAAAAGTTGACTATTTTTTAAACTTAGATCAGTGATCTAAAATTCGAAAGTGACCTATCTCTAGAGAAATCGAGGGAGAAGTTAATTGTTCTTCGTTGTGGGTTTCAAGCTGATTGTTCTTCATTGTAGAAAGATACGCAAGGAGAGGGAGGGAGAACGTGTTAGAGAAGGAGAGACCAAATTAATTAGGAAGATTCGGAGGGATAGATTTTATCAAAATTGGAGTCTAAAATCAAGAGACACAGTGGTTGACTTAAATTGCTACACAACGAAAAGTATTGTTAAGTTTAGTAGTAATTGTTTGAAACTATTGAAAGTGCCTATTAAAACTGTAAATTAGCACTCGTATATCATCATGTGACAATTCTTTCTTCGAAACTATCTCACATAAAGTAAACTCGACAATCTACCTATTTATACTATATTAAAAGCACGAAAATTTTTAGGAAATATCTATACTATTATATTTAATTGTTTTAGCACGTAAAACATAATTTTGATTGTGATTTTGGACTTAGGAGAGCGTCCAGATTGTGATTCGGAGGTCCGTAGTATAATTTGGCTTGAAATGGCGAAAGTTGGAATTTCAGAAAATTTGACCGGGAGTTGACTTTTTGATATCGTGGTCGGATTTCGATTTCGAAAGTTGGAGCGGGTCCGTAATGTCAAATGTGACTTGTGTGCAAAATTTGAGGTCAATCGGGCGTGATTTGATAGGTTTCGGCATCAGTTGTGGAAGTTTGAAGTTTCAAAGTTTATTGATTTTCGAATTGAGATGTGATTCGCCGTTTCAATATTGTTATGTGTGTTTTGAGGCCTCGAGTAGGTACGTGTTATGTTATGGGACTTGTTGAGATGTTCGGACGCGGTCCAGAGGGGCTCGGGTGAGTTTCGGACGAGGTTCAGATCATTTTTATTTCATGTTGCATTGATGAAGATTTCTGGTTCTGGTTTTTCCACATCTATGGAAGAATGGGCGCAGATGCGAGTCCGCAAATGTGGACAGTTGACCGCAGAAGCGTAGCAGGCTTGGCTGGAGGTCATCGCAGATGCGGAGGAAGAGTCGCACCTGTAAGTGCACAGAAGCAGAAATTATTCCGCATGTGCGAGAGGTCG